GAGTGGGCCACTGCACCCGGCTCCCCTGTTGCCCTCTCTTTCTCCTCTTTTTCTTCATATCGTCTATCAGAATCTACAATAATCACGATGATACACTTGAATACCTATTAATCATGCTTTTCCCCCCTACACTGGAATTTAATCAGAATAAAAACAGGCCTGTTTACGGTGTCCCCAGCTAACATATACCTGGCTCCAAGAATGGCGTCTGTCATGGAGTAAGCATCCAGCAGATATTTTCTTTTTTAATGGAAAGAATCAATGGAGACACCTGGGTCCCCCATCCTAGCAATCAGCCGGGGGGATCCTGAAGCATTTGGAGTTAGAGAATTTTCTCTCAAATCAGTTGTCTTCCTCCGTGATCTTCAGAGATATTTTGAAAGATCGAAATTTTATGGAAACGGCAGCTTCCTGTAAAACATAAGGGGTCCACAAGTTGCGAAGGTCAACTCGTGGAACTCTGCCTCTGCGGGTGCTGCGCTCTCTGGTCAGCTTCCTGCGGACCTCTCTGTTCTCGGAGCTTCTGTCTCGTTGTGTCTTGGGAGGCCCTGGGCACAGCTGGCTCTGTAGGAGAAGAAAGGCACAGAGGTTGGTGAGGGAGCCCCCTGTTTTTGATCTCTCTACCAGATCGTGAGCTCCCCGGGGGCAGGCAAGAGCTGGTTTACGGTCACCTCTGTACCCCCACGCCACCCTGCACCGCGTTTTCTGAGTGGCAGTCGGTTGACTTGAGATGAGCATCGTTTCACTTAATCCCCCGATTCTCACCCCTGCCGCAGGGACCTGAAGCTTGACAACGTGATGCTGGATTCCGAGGGCCACATCAAGATCGCTGACTTTGGCATGTGTAAGGAAAACATCTGGGACGGGGTGACCACCAAGACATTCTGTGGGACTCCGGACTACATTGCCCCCGAGGTGAGAGCTGCCAGGACCCCGGAGGCACACGGACCTCGTGACGATGTGTCCCCCGCTGACCTCTCGATGGCCGCGTGAGGGCTGGGAAGGGTCGAGGGTGGTACCTGGCAAGCAAACCCCAGGCTTGTCCTTATCCTGGGCTCTAAATCGCTCCTCTGAGATCTCACATGCAAATTAACTTAGCACACATCCCGATGCTCAGGCCCAAAATACATCAAGGTTTAGGAGAAAATTTAAATAAAACGCAAAAGAACCATCCAACACACATCAGTAGGCTTCTTTGTCAAGCTGCTATGGCTCGTGGCCATATGATACCTCCTAATTATGACATTGAAGCGTTTGTTGAGACAGCGAGAGACACACAGGGAACAGATTCCCTGGGCTGACATATGACACAGGGCTGTGACTGTGTGTGTGTGTGTGGCAGTTGTCATAAACCCTGGGAGATTCCAGGTTTTTCTTCCCGCGATAGAGATATAAACACCAGGGTGAAGATTTATTGGCAGTGCCGGCCTCTCCTCCCGAAGGAAGTGGTCAGTGAATGGATCTTCCCAGCATGACCAGGCACAATAATTTGTACCAGGCGGTCGGTCCCTTTCCCTTTTTCTCTGAATTGATGGCTTAGAAAAGTGGCATGTTGCAATCTGTCGCCAGATTTTTTTTTTCTCTCCCATTTTTTTTTTTTTTAAGGAAAGGCGCAGAGTCTCAGAAACAGACATTCTAGAATCCCTCTTCTTGACTGCCAGACACTTGATATGTAACAGTGGGGATAGGCGTCCCCATGTAATTAAATACGTTGACATATGATTTTAAACCTGCACGCTCTGGTGACAAAGCAGTTCCTTTTAGAAGAAGCTAATTTGCAAACACCAGACATGTATGCCTGAGTGTGCGCACACACGTGCGCACAGACACGCATGAGCACACACACACACACACACACACACACACAGAGGGAGTAAGAGGTGTGTTCAATGTCCTTCCTTCATCCCAGCTTTATTTGTTAACCATGAAAGATGGGATAAAATGACCGTCGATAAAGGTATAATTAGCTCAACTGAGCGCCATTCGTGTTAGGAAATCCTGTTCGGCCCTAAGAAGACCAGACCACACAGCTGAGTGCATGCAAATACATCTGCATGTCCTGGAAGGAACCAGTGTCCCTCCACAGGGTAAGGACAGTCCACTGTGATTTATTCATAGTATAAAATACTCCTAGGCACCGATTCAAAAGAGTGAGATATATGTGTAGATACAGAAATATCTTAAAACCAGATTCTTAAGAGAAAAAAAAAATCCAACTAGAGAATAGAGAATCCAATACAATGTCATTTATGGATAATGACAATAACACACACAGAGCCCGTCTGTAGGTTTTCCGTGAGGATGCAGATATGCAGGCTAAGGCATCGGACATTTGGAAGATGACAGGTTGGGTTTATAACACCTGTGACCTCAGGGAATAAGTGAATGGTGAAGGGAGATTCTGACCCATCTCTGGGCTGTTTATATTTTCCCCAAGGCAAGTATGTTTGTGTATTCCTTGAGTAACAACAAGGTAATCTTTTTTAAAAAATTAATTCTTTATTAGGGCCTAGTAGAGGTGTCCCAAGGTGGCCTCCTTTCATCTATTAACATTTTCTTAATTAATCAGGATGTCTGACAAGATCTAGAGCCCAATTCCTGGATATGAGCTTGGTGATTTCTGGAACCCAACACCAGCTACACTTCAGTGGTGGGGGTGGGGGGTGGGGACACATTTTAAAAAGTAGGGTGCCCAGGCATCACCCCCAGAGCCACTGAATTAGAGCCTCTGCAGGGCGGGGCGCAGGACCTGTGGTTTTCATAGCTCCCAGGGGAGCAGGACCCGTGGACCCAGGAAGCCCCAGCGGCTCTGGAATTGGAGTGGCCTGTCCTCCCCCAGAGGGGGGCCCTTCTGTCAGGTCAGGCTTTGCTGTGACTAACTGCACCGCCTCTGGCCACTTCTTATCCCACCTCCCCAGTCTCTGTTTTCCTTTGTAAAAGGATTGACTTGTTGGGTGGTCATGAGAATTCAATAAGACTGTCACTGATCCTCAGACTGCCTCTTTTATTTATTCATTTACCTCTTTACCCACTTCTTTATTTTTAATTGACCAATCAAAATCACATCCATCCGCCATGTACCTACCATGTGTTTTGAAATGTGGGTACATCGTGGAAGTGAGAGACACAGAGAGACCAGATTAAATCGAGTTAATTGACATGTGCTCGACCTCACAGACGTACCTTTATTTTTATAGTAAGAACACTTAAAAAATGACACTTTTTTTTTCAAATTGTCAAGAATACAAATCGTCGTTATTAACTATGATCACCACTCTGTACAATTAATAGGTGTCTGGAACTTATTTTACTCTTATTTTAGCTGAAATTTTGTGTCTTTGGACCATCTTCTCTGCATTTCTGATTTTGGAGTGGAAACCGGGGTGGGAGATGATGCTGGAGAAAGATATTTGCTTTTTAGTGACTAAAACAAGCAATAACTGGATTAGAGAACATTCCAGTAAAAGCTGATACTGTGAGGGCATCATACATGAGAGGCACCCGGTAGCTTATTCATCCCCACAAAACCTCATGGAGTCAATGTCATGGTAACCTCCACTTTATAGAAGAAGAAACCGAGGCTTAAAGAAGTAATTTCTGCCGGAGGGTCATGGCCCCGGCAAATAGCAATTGGGATTCAAAATTAGATTGTCTGACCCACAAACCTCCGCCCTTGACCTTTGCTCTATCGCCTCTTCACCCCTTTGACTCCGTCATGTTTACACTCCTACATACTGAAAGGTTGACAGCTGTTCTGTCCACACAGCTGTCTGGTCTTCACCACCAAACCCCTTACAACTGCATATACCATCTGGTTCCCTCATTCTACTTCTAGAAATTTAATGTTTGGAAATCATTGAAGAGATGTCCAAATAGCTAATCATAAGAATACGCATTATAGCCCCAGAAGAAACTTTAAAATAGTGGGAATCCACAAGGTGGATTTTGGCATATCTATTCAGCGGAATGCTATTCAGAGATAAAAACCAATGATGTCAGTGTACGGATATTAGCAAAGAAAACTTAAGTGAATAGCTTACTTGATTAAAGGTCCACTTACTAAAGTGTTTCTGATTATGCAAAACCACCCATGAGTTTGGAAGGAGATGGACCAGATAGGAGGAGTCCTAATTTTTCTCTTGACATTTTACTCTTTAAGCTTATCGAGATAGTCTGTATAAATAGGAACACACGTCATTACTCTCGAGACAATTTTTTTGTCTTTGTTTTAATTGTGATTTTAAAACCACGCGGCATAAAATTTACCATCTTGACTATCTGAGTGTGCAGTTCAGCGGTGTGAAATATCTTCACATTATTGTGTAAGTGACTTGACTTGTACCATGAGAAATAAAAATAGCTTTTCCTCTTTAAAAGGCTGTACACACTTCTTTGAAAATAATAAATAAATAAATAAAAATAAAAACACTATTCCCAGTGCTCAAAAAAAAAAAAAAAAAAATGCAATGTGACATGCACCGATGTCCCCCCAGTTACAGGTGCCTCTGTGAAGCACTCTGCCTGACATTCCCTGGGTAGCTAAGGTGACGGAGTAGCTCAGGTGGGCACTGGCCAGGCTTGCATCTTTGAGACCCTGGCTTGCATCTGGGGACTGTGACAGCTACTATAATCTTTCACAATAAGCAGGTGACATGCCAAAGAACCCCCCTCCACACACACACACACACACACACACACACACACACACTCTAGGGAAGGTCCACTCTGAGGGTGAAGGAGGTGTGAATCCCACGTCCAGCCATGTGCACGGCCAGCCTTGCTGACAGAACGCTTTCTGTTTTCCAGATAATCGCTTACCAACCCTATGGGAAGTCCGTGGATTGGTGGGCCTTTGGAGTCCTGCTGTATGAGATGTTGGCCGGGCAGGTAATTGAATTTGAAATGATCTATAAGAAAAGCACTCCTCTACTCCCAGCCTCGTGGCTTCTTTCAAACCAAATGACAGCTCGAAAAACCTGAGCCTCTTCTGCCTCCCTGGTCTTGGGGTGATCCTAGTTGGTTGGACATTTCTTCTCATCTTCCTGAAAGTCCTGGAGAGGGGCCTCACCTGGGGCACAGGGAGGAGGACCTGCTGTTTGGGAGAAGCTGGGGGAGGGTGCAGGCGGGGGATCCCTTTCCCACCCGGCCCTCTGCCCCACAGGCACCGTTCGAAGGGGAGGATGAGGATGAACTTTTCCAATCCATCATGGAGCACAATGTGGCCTATCCAAAGTCTATGTCCAAGGAAGCTGTGGCCATCTGCAAAGGGGTGAGTAGGGCCCTTCAAGCCCGTGGCCGGGACATCACCTACCAGGATGCAGGATGTGCCCTGCTAGAGGGGACCAGCAACCAAACCCTCCCCCTCTCTTCGCTTTGCCAATCAGAGAGCCCTGGAGAGGAGTTGCTACCTCCCAGAGGAAAGAGAGCTCACCCTTATTTGCACAAAGCTCTAGAGAGGAGGGCCTGTCATGGCGTCTTGCTGATGAGCAGCCTCCAACCCCAGCCCCCAACCCCCAGCCCAGCACAAGGGATGCTTCACGAATGAATGAACGAGGGGGCAGTACTGTGAAGAGCTGGGACCCAGGAGAGGCATGGATAGGTGTCCCTGGCCCTGCTCTGCTGCATGTGTGCTTAGTTAATACTCAGAGCGTGTCCCAAGAAAACACCAAGCAGTATTGAATTGAAGGGATCCTATAGAAAAGCTGACCCCAATCCAGTGTCCCCAAGTCCCCATTCTCCCTCCAACTCCCAGCATACAAAGAGCAGGCACAGCTAAACACCTGCTGCTTATGCCGATTGCACCTGTGACCAAAGCAAGGTGCAGATTTCCAGGTAAGGATCCTCTGGACTCAGACATGCTCCTGGTGATGGGTGTGAGACACTAGAGATGAGTGGTCCTCTCCTTTGGAGCCATCAGTGACCTGAAGTGACTTTTCAGAATGCAAGGGCTCAGCCTCCCACCCCCCCCCGAGATTAATTCTGTGTATTTACAATATTTCGCCAAATTCCCACAAGGCTCGAAAACCACTCCCTTTCAACACATCCAAAAGAAATAGTTTTTCAACTCTGATGGGAGTCCAAAAGCGATACCATGAGAACCTCAGAAAATATGGCCCAAGGATGTTGCCTTTGAAAAGAGTTTGTGGATGGGCTCGGGGACGCACGCCTGTCATCCCAGAGGCTTGGGAGGCTGAGGCAGGAGGATGGCAAGTTCAAAGCCAGCCTCAGCAGCAGCGAGGCCCTAAGCAACTCAGTGAGACCCTGTCTCTAAATAAAATACAAAATAGGGCTGGGGATGGGGCTCAGTGGGCAAGTGCCCCTGAGTTCAATTCCCAGTACCCATCTGCTAAAATAGAGTTCTCCCACCCACGGGTGCCAACGAGTTCTCCAGGTTAGACCCCGGCTGCGCCCCACGGTGGGCTCCCATCTGCAGGTCTGAAGGCAGCAGGCCTGTGCCCCTAGATCTTGGCGATGCCCTACCCAGCCCTGCTCTCCTGACCCCCGTCAGAGCCAGCCCTGGTGAAGGACAGTTGGAACAATCAGCCAGATCCGCCCGAGGCTTGGCTCAGACTGTCACAGCGGGGCCAGCCTCTAGCCCAAGAGCACCTTGACTGTCGCACCTGCATTCCCCGCTGGTGAATCTCCTGAGCCCTGTGTTTCAGCCACAGGTTAAGGTGCAAACATGCCTGGAGGAGCCACGGGGTGTCTCCAACACCCCTAAAGTGAATTGGTTGAAAACATCTTCTTTGAGGGTGTGGGCAGGGACCGGAAAAAAATGAGGGGCAGGGAGGAGACCCAGGGTTCATGAAGAGCTTCAGCAAAGCCCATGGACTTTTGAGGGCACAGCCCAAGGCTGGTGAGACCACTGTAGTCTTTCTACTGGGGCCGTAGTGAAGGGAACCAGAGACTGGGCTTTCCTGGTTTAGTAATTCCCAGCATTTAGAATAAGAAGATTTCTAGCTTCTCTCTTTTAAAATTTTTTTCTGTAGTTGTAGATGGACAGAATACCTTTATTTTGTTTATTTTTATGTGGTGCTGAGGATCGAACCCAGTGCCTCACGCGTGCTAGGCGAGCGCTCTACCACTGAGCTACAGCCCCAGCCCTTTCTAGCTTCTCTTAAAAAAAAAAAAAAAAAATCAAAGCCTCATTCAGCTGGATCGGAAACCACTACTTCCTTTCTAACCCGACACGCCTCCTCCAATTTGCAAAAACCCCATTTGGCCCAGTTCCCTGGGTTCAAATCCAGGTCCAGGCATTATTAACCTAATGAGTTGTTTGACCTGCTTTGTGGATGGAGGATAACCGCAGCACCCCACGTAGAGTTCTTTGATGATGGAATGAGTTCATACCTGCAAATCACTGAGACCAGAGCCGAGCAAGCACTCTGTCCCATTCTTACTGTGACTAATGCTGGCACCGTGACCAGCCCGGCTCCTCTTGGCATTGAGTTGGCCTCCCCCGAACGAAGACTTTGACCATGTGGGGATTTGGGAGATGAAGAGACCCTTTTGCAAATCCTTATGCTCTCACTCTTCAGGTGCACGGTCTGGAGCAAATTCGTTTGTGTCTCTCAGGGCCTGTGTCTCTTTATTTGTAAAAATGGGATGAAAGTCCTCACTGAACAGAGATTTGGGGAGCGTTCAGTGAGGTCAGGTAACAGGAAGCTCCTTGTGTGGTACCGGCACAGAGTAGGTGCTCAATGCGTGCTCAGGGGCTTCCCCTTCCCAAGCCTGCCCTGCCAGGACGGCTGGGGGGTTCTAAGTGGGTCATGGAGGAGAGAGAATTTTCCAGGTCAGCTGCATTCAGCTTCAGCTCCAATTAGCAGTGTCCCTGCTAGAGCAGTTTCCTATTAATTCAGGACCCATAACCTTCAGGATTAACTGGGGGTGACTTTCTGGCTGTTGGGTTTGGGGAGCTCTCTGAGTCGAGTGGGCCAGGTCCCAAGCTGGCTCTTTCTTCAAGGTCGATGCTCTGGAGCAGGGGAGATGCTCAAGTGAAGGGCCCCACGCTTCCTCCTGAACAGGGACCCCGGGGACGGGTCCGGGAGGTGATCAGAGAAGGGAACAGTGATTAAATCCAGCTGTCTACACAGCTTCAGGCGCATCCAAGCAGAGTCCAGGAAGTGGGCAGAGACCTTGAGTTAGAGCTCGATGTGTCTAGAGTGGCATTTCTTCACTGGGCGTCTGTCCCCCCTGCTTATCACTGAGCAAAGCCGAGGCCTCTGAAAACAGTTGAAGTGTGTCCATTCTACGTCCAGCTCCTGACAGGCCCTACTTTCTACCATCAAAAAAAGAAAGAAAATGAGTTGAACTTTGCTCAGATTGCCACTCCCACTTCCAACAAGCTTAAAACAGACAGACACCCAGGCTGGCCGCCTGTCGCCTGTCGGAGCGGAAACAATCAGAGACTGATTACACTGAGCCGCGGGAACTCTAGGTCAGGCAGTTCTGTTCAAACCCCGACCCAGCTCCTTGGCTGTGTGACCTCAGGCAAATGACATGACTTCTCTGGAACCAGTACCTGAGTATCTGGGAAAAGGGGGGAGATAGTTGCCAAAACCTCAGACTGTTATTGTAAAGATTAAAGAGAGATAAATAATGGCTGGGAAACTTTTAGCTCAGACACAGGATATGCTCAGGACCTAGAAGCTGTTATTGCTATTATCAGGGCTCCCAAGGCCCCTTAGCTCTTTCTTCCCATTTGAATTCTACACAAAATTCAAGACTTGGCTCAATTTGCTCTCCCTCCATCAACCTTCCCTGACTCAGCCAGACCACAAATATCCCTGAGAAGCCACATGCAAAGCATACCCCCCACCGAGCGTTTTATTTTATTTATTTTACTTTATCTTGGGTACTAGGGATTGAGCCCTGGGGCATTTAACCAGAGCCACATCCCCAGCCCTTTTTAGTTTTTATTTTGAGACAAGGTCTCACGGAGTTGCTCAGGGCCTTGCTAAGTTGCTGAGGCTGGCCTCAAACTTGCAATCCTCCTGCCTCAGCCTCCCAGGTGTGTACCACTGCGCCCAGCTCTCTCATTGTTCTTTAAAGCCCCAGTTTTGGAGCTAAGCAGAGGTGGAATCCAATCTCTCATAGCTGGCTGGGTGTCTACTGCCTGGTCAATCAGATGGGGCGTAGTGTACCCCCTTCATGGTGTTATGGTGATAATCAGGTAAGGTCACGCCTATCAATACAAGAAGTAGTTTAGGACATCAACGTCAATTACGTTCCATCCTGGAAGGTAAAGAAGATACAGAAAGTGTGTGCCTGTGTATGTGACCACTAATTATCTCATGAGCAGCAAATGGGCACTGTAAGCTGCCTAGGTGTGAGTTTCTGGTTCATTCCTTTCCTGTAATCAGCCAGCGCTGAGCAAAATGTCTGGGGTCAGCTCAACGCTGGGAAGTTTCTTGGGCTCGTGTGTTCCGGTTGCTTTGGCTTCCTGTCTCGGTGCCTCCCGTCAGGATTTTCTTTCTTTTTTAAATCATCAACCTGTCCATCTTTCCTCTCTGTGCATTTGCTGAAGTCCTGAGATCAAGAGATATTCTCTTGCCTCTTTGGGTTCATTTGTAAGAGGAAGGCTGTCTGGTTTCATCTCAGAGCATCTATTCATCTTGTTATTTAGCACTGGCTCAGAGACCCAAAGATGGAGAGTGTTGATAATTAAGTAATTTAAACAGAACACCAAAGAAACCTCAGCGGAGTTTAGTATAATGTGTGATCCGGGGGAATGAGCTGGGCTAGGTTTTGACTGTTTAATGAGTTTTCTGGAAGTAATTACTTGAAGCTTGGGTCCATTTGACTAATATATATATATATATATATATATATATATATATATATATATATTTTCCTGTTTTGTCATTTCCACAAGTGCTTTACTGAGAAAAGCAAATAGTTTCTGAATGAATGTGTCCTTGGCCTTGGTCAAAGGTCAGTTTTCTCCTGGTTGGGAGGAGGGGAGCTAGAAGATATTGAAACTGTTCTCAGTAGATGTACCAATAATTGCAGAAAACTAATTCTTGGACCAGAATGGATCCTGGGACATTTCTAACTTCAAGTTCAGGGCCAGATTCATGCTTTGGTTTGATTAGCCATAAGGGATCTTGCTCTTGGGTGAGCAGCATCAGGCGTTGTATTGGGGTCCTCTCCCATGAAGACCTGGTTAGGAAATTATTGCCGGAATGAAAAGGAATATAAATGAATAAATAAATATCCTGAGATTCTTCATGGTGCTTTCTTTCCAAAGTCATTGGAATAATAATTTCTGCGGGTCTCACATTTCCTTCTCTAAAGTTCATTCAACTTTTTTTTTTTGCTTTTTTGTTTTGTTTTGTTTTTTTCTCTTGAAGCTGATGACCAAACACCCAGGCAAACGTCTGGGTTGTGGCCCTGAAGGGGAACGTGACATCAAAGAGCATGCATTTTTCCGGTATATTGATTGGGAGAAACTTGAACGCAAGGAGATTCAGCCTCCGTATAAACCCAAAGCTGTAAGTAAAAGTGGTCTCTCTCTGGCTGTGCCCTCCTGCCCACTGCGCATGCGTTGAACGCTCACTGAGGGGTAGACGTCGAAGCACCTACCTGAACGTGTCTGCAGGTGCTCTCAGATTTATGCACCAAGTCACTGGGTGCCAGCACGGGCTTGGCCACTCCCTGGCACAGCCCACCTTCTGCACATAGCAGGAAAAACAATTGCTATTGAGTTTCTGTTGTATTGATTCAATTATTGTAACTGTCTTAGCAGATAACTTTGGGGGACCGGTTCTTTGGTGAGCAGAATTCAGATCTATTTTTTGGACGGTGATAAAGAATCTAACCCCCCCCCCCCTTCTTTCTTTGGTTCAATGGTGCCATTTTCCCTTCATACGGACACGGAAAAGGTCATGTTGTTTATCTCAACAGTATTTACATCTAATTCTGCAACCTGCACTGGTTCCTCTGGGTGAGTAAGAGCCGTTCACCAGGCAGAGCTGTGTAAGAGGAGGCTGAGCAGCTCGGCTAAGTAAGCCGTAGGCCCCCAGCAGGCTCCTGTGCAGATAATTCTTCTGATGCAAGAATGAATGTGTCACATTCCTCCTGGTTGTGTCCCCAGGGGATGGTTTTCCTCCCCAGGACCCAGCAGGAAGTACACCCCAGCATCAGGGAGGAGGAGTCCTGCACCTGAATTAATCAAAACTGCGGTTCTCCTGGGAGGATATTTCTTTGTTAAAGGAAGTCAAGCGAGGCCTGGTGACCTTATTACAGGTTGTAAAACCACTGGCTGAGGCTGAGGAGGGAGCATAAATATTGTCATTAAACCCAGAGCTGTAAGGGTCTCGGTGTTAAGAGGAAGGTGATAATGACAGCCATTTTGATACTAGAATTGTTAATTTCTTGAGCACTTATTACGTTCCAGGCACCCCATGATGAGGTGCTCATGGGGCATCTAATTAAATCCTCACGGCAGCCAGCCTACCCCGGGGAGGTGCCATTGTTCCATGTGGTGGAAGGGGAAATGGAGACTCAGAGAGGTTAATGGGCACTCAGCCGGTGTGTGACTAAGGGAAAGTACAGACCCTGGACGTGGTGATTCCGTTGGAGGCTTCCCAGAATGCCTGGGGGCGGGGGAGGGTAGCGGAACAAAGTCTCCCAGGTCTAGTGCTGACCCGTCCCTCCGTTCCAAATGGTTAGAATCACAGCTCTACAGCTTCCTTGCAAAACCCTGGACACCTCTGCGGGCGCAGATGTCAGGAAGGCAGGTCTGTAAGAATCAGTGGTCCCCTTCTGTGGCTCTTCTGACTGTTGGAGACTCTCTATCCATACCTAATCAGCCCTGCCCCCTTCCACACACACACAACTGCTGCAAGATCTCCTCTCTCTCTAGAGTATCCTCCAGATGTTCGCAGATGTTTGCTTAGGCTCTCGAATCCTGGACATCCAGGCCAAATCTTGTCCCCCTCATCCCGTAAGCATGTCCCGTGTGACCTCACTTCCAGGTGCCTGTGGTTCTCTAGGTCATCAACGTCCAACTTAAAGTACAGACACAGGGTTCGGCACCATGTTCCTAATAGCGTCTGACCCTCAGTGAATACAGTGAGTTGGTTCCTTGGTGATTCTAGGGCTGGTGAACTTGGGCAGGTGAGTTTCCCTCTCTGGTCCACTGTACTGTAGCTACAAATGATTACAGGAGGCTGAGGAGGCACAAAGCCCTCCGGACCTGCCACGTTAGTGATGTCACCCAGGGATTAATGACTGGGTGCAGGGGTTTTGAGGGCAGGTCAGTTGGGTCCTGCTGATGTTGTTCCCTAGGGTAACGTCTGTGTGCCCACTGGGGGGGGGGTTGAGGACACCCCTGCAGGGTCCTCAGCAGATTCATCACTTTCACTAAACCATTAGGAGAAAGAACAAAAGGTGACTTTGTGAACCCTGGACCCTTGGGTCAGGAAACTGGCCTCTCCAACACGGGACACATTTGGTTTCTTTGTGGCCCTACTTACGGGGTCTCAAAATGTGGACTCCTTCCCTTCCTCACTTGGCCACAGGTAAGATGCCAGTGTTCCCCTCAGGGGACATGGGGGCTCATGTTGTAGACTAGTGGTTTTCAAAGGGTGTTCCCTGGGCCAGCAGCATCTTGTCACCTGGAAGGAATTCGAAGAATCAGAAATTCTGGGAGGGGCAGGGGTTCTGTGCTCCGGGTTCTGTGCTCCGCTTCTAAGTTCCCCTGAGAAGCTGGGAATCAGGGGTCAGAGGAAATCTCACTGTTTCTTAATATATCAGCAACACCTGCTTAAAGATTAAACATAGTTGAGGGTGAAGGGAACACATCCAGGACCCATAGGTGGCCAGGGGACGGCTGGTTTGTCATCTCTGGGTTCGTGATGTCTCACATCAGGGTTATGTTTAGCCAGTTCCTGTTCCCGCTGGGTATTGATGGCCAGAGTTCACCCCGTCTGAAGATATACTGTGACTCTCCCTGCCCGGGGATAATAGATATGACAGGTCTGGCTCGTCCCTGGCTCACAGGAGGCACTTGTGCAAAGGGGGTTGTGGTCAGTAGCCATTGATCTTCAACCGTGCTGCCTTGGATATTTCCAGCTGACCAGTGTCATAAATTCCCTCCTGTGTGTTAACAATGACTTTCAAAATACAGTGGCCAGGACTGAGCTGTGTTCTTCAAAATATTCTGCCAGGCGTGGTGGTTCACACCTGTCATCCAAGTGGCTCCGGAGGCCGAGGCAGGAGGATCGAGAGTTCAAAGCCAGCCTCAGCAATTTAGCAAGGCCCTAAGCAACTCAATGAGACCCTGCCTCTAAATAAAATATAAAAAGGGGGTGGGGATGTGGCTCAGGGGTTAAGTGCCTATGGGTTCAATCACTGGCACCCAAAAAAAAAAAAAAAAAATCACTGGTTGTAAAAGGGAAGCAGGTGCTGCCCTTGATCCACTCCGACTGAATTAGAAATACAGCCATCCCTTACTAGTCAGGGAAGATGGGTTTCAGGATCCTTTGCAGGAACCGAAATCCATGGATACTCTGTATCTATGTCCCTTCTGTAAATTGGCAGAGAATTTGCATATAACCCATGCGCATCTTCCCGTGGACTTTAAATCATCTCTAGATGACTTATAATACCCAATAAATGCAAATGCTATGTAAATACTTGTTCTGCTACATTGTTTGGGGAATAGCAACAAGGAAAAAAACCCATCTGTACATATTTATTACAGATGCAACTTTTTAAAAATCATTTTTGACCCACAGTTGGTTGACTCCAAGGAACCTGTGGGTCCCGAGGGCTGGTTGTCATGATAATGGCTACACACACCCGTCCCCCGACTTCTTGCCACCTGTTCATGTCCCCTGTGCACTGCACGAGAGGGTCTTATGGCTCCGCCCCCAACCCAGGATTTTACATTTCCCCTTCCCCATCCTTTCTTATCCGCCTGCCCCTTCCGAAAGGCCTCTGGTGGGTGTGTGCAGAGTTCCGTGTGCCTGTGGGACACTGGAAGGCGCGCGCGTGTCTGTCAAGGTTCCTGATTCATGCATGCCGTTAAGTCAAGTGTGGGAGACAGAAAACAGGGAGCAGTAACAGAGGATTATATTCAAACATCATTGAAGGGTGCTATTATTGGAGGTTCATTAAAATCACTCTAAATGGGTTTTTCAAGTTGCTCTCAGTGCCATCTTTTATTGAAGCAAAGAGCTGTTTGCAGAGTATTGTTTGAAACTGCACTGAAAGACACTAGCTTTGGTGTATTGTTGTAGGGTGCAAAGTCATTGTTCTTTTCAAGGGGAGCTACTGTGGATTGAACTCAGGAGCACTCGACCACTGAACCACATTCCCAGCCCTTTTCTATATCTTATTTAGAGACAGGGTTTCATTGAGTTGCTTAGGGCCTCGCCAAGTTGCTGAAGCCGGCTTTGAACTCTCGATCCTCCTGCCTCAGCCTCCCGAGCCACTGGGATGACAGGTGTGCGCCACTGAGCTTGGCTCAAAGTAATTGTTTTTAAAACGTGATCTGCTTGTGTCTGTCTCTTGCTTAAAGCCTGCCCTGATGGCTTGCTGGTACCCCAGGATAATATCCATTGCTCCTTATTATCTATGGCTTTTGAAGTCTTCCAAGACTAGGTTTCTCTCCCCTCTGTGACTTTAAGCTTCCAAGAAGCAGCACCCCTAGGTCTCTTTCAATTCCTCCAACACCCAGCGCCTTCTCTTTCCTTGTTGGGCTTTGTTTGTGCAGGGCCATCTGCCTGGGGTGCCCGGAACCCCTTCCCATGCTCCCCTCCTCCCCCTCCAGCCAGCCTGCTGGTTCCTCATCAGATCAGTAGAACATCACCCCCCCCGCCCCCCGGGGACTTCCTGATCCCGAGGAGGATCCTCTGTCTGCACCCGTCTCCGTGTTGCAGAGTGTGGTCCATAGAGCCCCGTCTTGTCTAGACTCTGGATCGTGACTTTTTCAGGGTCGAATCCCACTGCCTAGTGGGAGGGTTAGCGCGTGTGGCCGCTGGAGAATTTTTATCAAATGAATGGACGTCTGTAAAACAGGCCACCGTAAGACCCGGAGCCATGGAGCCCAGCGGTTCTTGAGAGCGAGATTAGCATGCAGGCTGTTCTGCTGACGTACAGCAGGGTGTCTCCAAGAAATTGGTTGTTGTGTGTGTTGCTTCCCTATTTCGAAAGGGCTGTGATTTGGCTGCCGAATGGCACACGGTGGCGGCCACCTGTGGTCGTGCTGTGTGCTCTGGGTAGAGCGGCTGAGGAAGCGGCTGAAGACGCAGGCATCACACCGAATCCCTGGCCGCCTCAGGGTTCTGCAGCCCACCCGGGCACGGGCTGGCCTGTGCTCCAGGTGCCACGATGCAGCAGCCTGTCAGAGCTTCTTAAGCCACCGTGCCTGCAGGAGGCACTTGAATTTATACTGACTCTGGTTCAGCTCGTCTGCAGGGAGCCCTGAGACCAGCTGAACCAGAATCAGGGATAGAGTTAGGGCGAGCCAGGAGGGGGAAGAGGG